AAGTTTTTTTCATGCAACCCAACCCGGGATACTAAGGCGACAGTGGTAAAAAGGTCTATTAGGGTTACATGGAGGTGGGGGACCCTAGGTAGGTGAGGTAACCCGCCGGTCCAGTAAACTCTCATTAACATGATAGGTGGGGTGACCCGCCGAGGGTTACCTCACCTACCTGGGTTCCCCCACCTCCATGTAAGCAGGCCCTTAATCAATTCTTCTTTCGTCGTGGGCGAGCAGTAAGTTAAAGCTTTAATTACGCAAATCTAATACAATCAATATTTACCGACTATTGTAAATTCAATTCCTCGTTACCTGATGGTGTGAACACCTTGATTGCTTTAGCTGATGGCAATCCAGTCGGTATTTGTGTGTTGCAGTTGTTCCCAGTGCAGCAGTCGAGCTCGCACTCCAATAAGGTCCGTGATGAAGCTTTCATGTAGCCACCAAGATCAAAACAAGCTGCTTTCTTATCTATGGCAAAAACAAGCACGTAAGGTGTTTTCACATGTTCTACAATAACATTGTGATTTCTCGAGCGCTGATTGGTCGAGCGCTATGATCGATTAAAATGCAGACTATGGAAATAGGATTAGCTACATAATTCCGGAATTTTTGGGGGAATTTTAGACATAAAAAAGAATTTTAGAAAATCTCGCGAATTTTAGAAAAATTTGACAAATTCAAAAATTTTAGAGCAATTTGAACATTCACCCGACATTTTGGCAACATTTCACAGGCACGTCATTTCTATGGTGGATAAGAGTACAGACCATGGCAAATTGTTGTCGATTTGTTAAATAGCGACATTTTCACTCAAAATTATACAGGCAGTTATGTAGAGCTGAATAAAAAGGTTTGTAATTCTACAGCTACGTTGAAAGATCCGGCTGTATGCTCGGCGGTGAAGTTTGCTGTAAAATTGTCAGTAGCTGTAAACTTACCTGCGCAGTTAAAGCATCCTCGATGTGCTAAAGCCCTAACATTCCCAGAGGCGTCCCGATATCTGCCAATTACAGAGCCGCAAAAAGGCGTTCCAAGCGAACCAGAACTTGGCTGATTTGCAGAACAGGTTACGGGACCATCCTTATTGGAGCAACTATTCAAACAGTGAATACATGTCCGTTGCCCCGCAGCTGTATAGGGAAAAAATCCAAAGAAAAGGCAATAAATCATTGAAAAATGTAAACAAGCAGCAAAGGTTTTAACGACTCTTGTTTCTCTTTAGGTCAGCTGAGGCAGAATGCCCCGTGATGGTTTTCGGGTAAGAAGGATGTCCCCGGGGGTATTCCCTAAAAGGAACTATACGGGTAGGCTTCACCCGAAAGGGGTACCTTTTTTAAGGCTTCAGGAATATGAAAAAGTAGGAAAATCTGTCATTTCGATATGTAAAAAGACTTAAAAGGGCCAACAGGAGAATTTCATAGCTGTGAAAAAGACGAAAAAATCCTTGTTCTGTGATTTATTCATATTTAAAAGACGGTGGATAGCAGCAGTTAAAAGGAATACAAAGTTCTAAGGGATACCATGTTTAAATGGAAGGTAGGGTAAGGGATTGGACTTTGGGATTACCCTCCCGGTATAAAACTTTGTTGAGTAACCCCTCTCCCCTCGTAGGATTAGCGTCTTGCACCTTAAGTAATGATCCGGGTAAGGTGGATAGCAATTTCTTTTGTTATGCGGCAACGGTGCTTTCCCCACATAGGAATGTTCTCATTCTTACACAGAGAATGCATAAACCTACGTGAAGGTCGTTTACACAATAAAATGCATTAACATTCCACTTTGAAAGGGTGTTTTTTTGTGTTAAAATATTTTGACTAATCACAAGAGTTGAAAACAATAGCCAAAAAAAGTCTACAATTTTACATGTTCCCCACATAGGATAAACTGAGACCAGATTTTGTTATATGGAAGATGGTTGGAAAGTAAGGATGAATATTTATTATATATGTACTGAGATTTACTGCAAAATGAATATGTCAAATAAAAATGATGCGTTGCAGAGTACACGCAATCTGATTGGTTGTACGATTTTTCTCACTAGTGAAAAATACCGTTTGACCAATCACAACCCGCAGACGAAAGTTTTCACTAGTGACAAAAATCGTATCGATTTTCCCGCCTTTCACTGACGGCGTCTCTAGGCAAAAGGAAAACCATGGCGTCTTCTTCGAGCAATTCAAGGTTTGCAGATATAACTTCAGTAGAGGAATTTATTGAAGGACAAGAAAACGAAAACACCAGGAAGAAAACTGAACAGAATGTTGCTTTGCTTAAGGAGTTTTTGAGGCTAAAAGATGAGTCAAGGCCTGTAGAAGAAATTCCCCCACACGAACTGAGTTCATTCATCAGCGAATTTATCATAACAGTAAGAAAGAAAGAAAACAACGAAGATTACGAACCCACTTCCTTGCGTGCTATGATGGCCAGTTTTGAACGGTATTTAAAGAAGAAGAATTACGGCTACAGCATTATGAGAGACGTCGAGTTTGAAAAAGCACGA